TTATCTCAGTAGTTATAGGGCTCTACAAATTACCTAACTGACATCTGGAGGGGTGTGGTAGTTTTTACTTTTTGAGGAATTGATCCACTTAATCTAAGTTTTGAAATTTATGTGCATAGAGTTGCTCATAGTATTCTCTTATTATCTTTTTGATGTCTGCAGGACCTGTAGTGGTATCCCATTTCATTATTTTTTTTAAGTTTATTTCTTTATTTTGAGAGAGAGAGAGAGAGAGAGAGAGAGAGAGAGAGTGCTTGTGTGAGCACTTAAGCAGGGTAGGGACACAGAGAGGAAGAGAGAATCCCAAGCAACCCAGGGCTTGATCCCACGAACCATGAGATCATGGCCTGAGCCAAAATCAAGATTCAGCCACTTAACCGACTGAGCCACCCAGGTGCCCCCATGCCCCATTCATTCTTAATGTTAGCAATTTGTCGTCTCTCTCTTTTTTTGTCAGCCTTGCTAGAGATTTGTCAATTTTATTGGTCTTTTCAGTGAAACAGATATTTAACTTTCTCTATTATTTCTGTGTTTTCAGTCTCATTGATTTCTGCCTTTATGTATATTATTTCCTTCCTTATGCTTGCTTTGGGTTTATTTTTCTCTTATTTTCTAGCTTCTGGAGATGGAGACTTTTATTACTGATTTGAGACTTTTCTTCTTTTAATGTAACCCTTTAGTTCTATAAATTTACCTCCTGTGCTTAGCTGTGTACCACAAAATTTGATAAGTTTTATTTTCGTTTTCTTTCAGTTCAATGTATTTTTTATATTTCCCTTGAGATTTCCTCCTTGACACATATATTATTTAGAAGTGTGCTGTTTAGTTTCCAAGTCTTCAGAGATTTTTCTGTTATTAATTTCTAGTTTGATTCTATTATGGTTAGGGAATGTACTCTACAAGATTTCAATTATTTCAAAGTTTCTAAGTGTTGTTGTATAGCCCTAAATTTAGTTTATCTTGGTATACGTTCCATGGATTCTTGAAAAGAATGTGTATTACATCATTTGAGCATCAACTAGATCCTGTTGGTTGATGGTGTTCTTGCGTTCTTATATATCCTTGCTGATTCTAATGTCTAGTTGCTCTATCATTTGTTGAGGGAGGGATGCTAAAGTTTCTAACTATAACTGTGGCTTTGTCTATTTCTCCTTTCATTTCTATTGGTTTTTGTTTCGTGTATTTTTTAGCTGTGTTGTTTGGTACACACACGTTTAGCATTGCTATGTCTTCTTGGTGGATTGACCCTTTCCTTATAACATCCCTCCCTAGCTTTGGTCATTTTCTTTGTTCTGAAGTTTACTTAAGATATAACTGACATGCAACATTAGTTTCAAGTGTACAACATGATTTAATATTTATATATATTGTGAAATGATCACCACAATAAGTCTAGTTAACATCCATCATCACCACACACAGTTATAATTTTTTTCTTTTAAGATCTACTCTCTTAGAATTTTTCAAATATAGCAGTATTATTAACTATAGTCACTATGCCGTATATTACACCCCCAAGACTTATTTTATAACTGGAAGTTGGCACCTTTTGACCACCTTCACCCCTTTTGACCACCTCCCCATCCTCTGCCTCTGGCAACCACCAATCTGTTCTCTGTATCTACAAGTTCATTTTGTTTGTTTTTTAGATTCCACATATAAGGGAGTTAAGGCAGTGTTTGCTTTCTGTTTGACTTATTTCACTTAGCATAGTACCCTTAAGGTCCATCCATGTTGTCACAAATGGCAAAATTTCCTTCTTTCTTATGGCTGAGTAATATTCCATTGTATATACACACATCACATTTTCCTTATCCATTCATTCACTGATGCACACTTAGGAGGCTTCTATGTCTTAGGTATTGTAAATAATACTGCAGTGAACTTGGAGGTGCCATATCTTTTTGAATTAGTGTTTTCATTTCCTTCAGATAAATACCCCAGAAGTGGAATTGCTCATACATAATGGTAGTTCTATTTTTAATTGTTTTGAAGAACTCTACTTTCTTTTGATTAATTTACATCATTTTATTTTCAACTTGCCTGTCTAATTACATTTGAAGTTATTTTCTTATGACAGCATATAGTTGGGTCATTTTTTTAACTCGCTCTGTCAATCTCTGTCTTCATTTGTGTATTTACACCACTTACATTTAATGTAATTACTTACATGGTAAGGCCTAAGCCTGTCATTTTATTTTTATTTTATTTTTGTTCTCTCAATTTTTAATTTCTTTGTTTCTTTTTTCCTACCTTCATGTAGGTCTCTTGAACAATTTTTAAAATTCTATTTTGATTTATCTATAGTGTTTTTTAATATATCACTTTGTATAGTGTTTTAGTGGTTGATCTAAGCATTACATTATATAGAACTTATCAAAGTCTACTGGTTTCAAAATTTTACCAGCTCAAGTGAAGTATAGAAACTTTACCTCCTTTACATCCTTTTACCCTCTCCCATTTATAATTATCTTTAATATTTCTTCTACAGACACTGAGAACGGCATTACACAGTGTTATAGATTTTGCTTTGCCAGACATAATTTAGAAAACTCAAGAAGAGAAGGAAAGTCCTTTGTATTTACCCATAGGTTTGCTCTTTCCATTTTTTTTCCTGCTTTCTGGTGTTCCAAAATTTCTTTTAAAAAAAATTGATTTTCTTTCAAGGGCGCCTGGGTGGCTCAGTCGGTTGAGCGTCCAACTTTGGCTCAGGTCATGATCTCATGGTTCATGAGTTTGAGCCCCGCGTTGGTCTCTGGAACCTGCTTCAGATTCTGTGTCTCCCCATCTCTGCCTCTTCCCTGTTCGCGCTCTGTCTCTCTCTCTCAAAAAAAAAATTTTTTTTTTAATGTTTAAATAATTTTTTTTCTGTTTAGAAGATTCCCTTATAGCCACTCTCCTAGGGTCTCTGTTGGTTAAAAATTCTGTTAGTTTTCCTTCATCTGAGAATGTCTTGATTTCCCCTTCATTCCTGAAGAATAGATATACATTTCTGGGTTGATAGTTCTTTTCTTTCAGTATCTAAGAGATGCTGTTTCACTTTCATAACACCTTTCTTATCACCTTATCACCCTTTTGATACAAAATCTACTGTCATTTGAATGGGTTTTCTCCCTGTAGGTAATGCATCATTTCTCTGTGGTTGCTTTCAAGATTTTTTCTTTGTCTAATTTTTATAAGTTTGACTAGTATGTGTCTTGACATGGATTTCTTTGGGTTAATCTTGTTTGGGATTCACTCAGCTTCTTGAATCTGTAGATAATATGGTTTTTGTTTTGTCAAATTAGGAACATTTCAGCCATTATTTCTTCAAATATTTTCTCAGGCTCACCCTCTTTCTCCTCTCCTGAGACTACAATGACATGAATGTTAGATCTTTTGTTATACTAGCCACACATGTCCTTGAGGCTCTGTTCTTCTTTTTTTTTTTTTTTTTTTTTTTCTTCTTCAGTTTGTTCTGTTTTTCAAATTGGGTAATTTCTAATGTTCCATGTTCCATTCTGTTGTTGAGCTCATTCATTAGGGCTTTTAATTTCAGTTATTGTATTTTTTAGTTCTAAAATTTCCTTTTGATTCTTTATTATTTCTTTGCTGACACTCTATTTTTTTCAATAGGTTTCAAACATGTTTGTAATTGCTCACTGAAGCATTTTTATGATGGCTGTTTTAAAATCCTTGTTAGATAATTCCAACATCTGTGTCATCTTGGTGTTTGTGTCTGTTGATTATCTTTTTGCATTCAGTTTGAGAACTTCCTGGTTCTTAGTAGGCTGAGTGATTTTCAAATGAAACCAGGACATTTTGGGTATTGTTTATGGGACTGGATCTTATTTAAATCAGTGTTTTAACAAGCTTCCCCTGACACTGTTCCAGTGAAATGAACAGGGGCACTGCCTCATTATCGCCAAATGGGGGTAGAAGTTCAGGTTCTCCACTCAGCCTCTCTTGACAGCTGGTGTGTGTGTGTGTGTGTGTGTGTGTGTGTGTGAAGTTTTCTCATTGCTGGGCAGGGGTGGAAGATCAGGTTCCCCATTATGCATCCATTAATACCATCTTGACTGGGACAGGGAGGGGGTACATCATTATTGCTCTCCACATGGCTTTCATGAAGATTCCACAGAAGTTGGGCTTATGATCACTGACTGATGGTCAAAGTCCTGATTCTCCCCTAGACCTCCTCTTACACCACTCCAATGAGGAGTATGAGGTCTCATCACAGGGTGGGGTTGGATGTTCAGGCTGCCCATGTGGTTTCTACTGACACTGTGGGGAGAAAGAGCCCAGAGGGGCTGGAGGGCCCAGCCCCACACTCAGCCTCCTCTGGCACCACTCAGATGTGGTATGGGGTCGTGGCCTGGCAAGGGTGAAAGTCTAGGGTCACACTCAGCCTTTGCTGTCAGGGGTAGAAGTGAAGCAGCAGGTTTTTCTGTGACATTTCGCTGGAGTAGAGCAGTTACTGCATGAAAGATTTCTGTCTTTCTGGGCTGCCCCTTTCTTGGTTCTTTAGCTAGAAGAGCAGAGTTTTGCTGGAAATATTTTTTTTTTTTTTTTTTTTTTTGGTCTGTGCTCATTGTCATTTCCAGTTGCTTGCTTCTTCAGTATTCAGTCTGGGATAGATGAAGCGAAGAGAAAACCCAGAGAATTCATGGTCATATCATTCCTCAGGCCCCAAGGTCCCTAACCAGTGTGCCTTCTCTCAGTCTTTCAGTGTCTTTTTATGCTTATTTTATAATATCCAGAGTTTTTAATTGTTCTTAGCAGAAGAAATAGGGAAGAATATACCTTCCCATAACGTTACTGTCTTTTGAATAAGTTGTTCTTTTTCTGTTTCTTTTTTTGTTTGTTTTTTAAATGTTTATTTATTTTGGGGAGAGAGAGGGAGACAGAATCCAAAGCAGGTTCCAGGCTCTGAGCTGTCACCACAGAGCCCAACGCGGGGCTCAAATTCATGAACCGTGAGATCATGACCTGAGCCAAAGTCAGATGCTTAACCGACTGAGCCACCCAGAAGCCCCTCTCCTTTTCTGTTCCTTTCTCAGTGGCTGGTAGTCAGTAGAGTTTGATGATACCAGGGTGAAGATTTCTCAGAGACTTCCCTGACCATCTGTAGGATTTGAATGGCTTTGCCTGATGTCTGGGTCTGGTCTCCAGACACTCACAGACTAGAAGCCTGATGAAAGTGGTAAGTTTCTAGTCTCAAGACTTGCCCATTCAAGAACACTCCATGAAAGTTATCTTTTTTTCCTTTTGATACTGTGAGCTCTTCCCTCAACCCTCGGGAGCTGCTGGAGCATCGGTGTAAGCGATCAGATTTCCCGACCATTCTGGCCTTTGGAGAGAAAGTAATAGGAATGAGAATAACTGGATGGTGTCACTAAACTACCAACACTTTCATATTGCCTTGTGCCTTTTTCAGCAGGCTGGCGGTTCTAATCTGCTTGGCTTAAATTATCAGCATTTCCTGAGAGCTGGATAGAGAGGAAGTTGTGGAGGGACTAGCTCTGAAACTATCTGATGTAGAAACTCCATACACCGAACCTAAAAACTGACCGTAGGTACTCGAGTGTTCCTTTCAAGCTGATTCCAAGCCCAAGGTGCCCTCATGGCCTCTTTTCCCCCCTCCCTACTTCACCATGCCTCTTGGTTGCCCTGAGAGTCACACAGGGGCAAGGGGTGGGGCCAAGGAGGGTGAAAATCCTTCGCTGTGCTTCCCCTTTCACTCTCAGATGCTGCCAAGGTCCCCGAAGAGGGAAGACACGAGGAAACAGGTAAAAATTATTTTGCTCTCTTTTGCATTCAGCATGCCGGCACGGAGCAGCTGCTGTGTGCCAGGCACAGTTCTTGGGGCTGGGAGCACAGCGGGGACCCCCCCCCCTTACCCATGTATCAACAGGATGTAGACCCCCATCTTTGAGCATGCCCTCTGATGGGCTTGTGGAGTCTTCTGAGAATAGGACGGGTCACCAGATGCCCAGGAGGGAAGAATGGACTCAGGGAGGCGGGCTCTGAGATCCTGCAAGGCCCTCAGCAGGCCTATGTCGAGCAGGCCACCATGGGTCTGGGTAGCATGGCCTTATCCTGAGCCTTTGTGCCCAATGCCTATTGTCCCCAGCCTCCACGCCCCACCCTGTCTCAGCAGCCTTCCGATTCCAGGTCTAAGGTCCCACTTCTTATGTCCCAGCGACTGCCTGGAGCTGCCGGGGGCGAGCACGTAGCTCTGCTCTGAGAAGTGCCCTCTCCCCCTCATCCTGGTGTTCTCAAGGCATTCCCCCATGAAGGTGCGGCTGGCGGCTGGCGGCACAAGGGGCACAACGGTCCGGCTACTGGAGGCTGGTCTTTGCCCCAGAGAATGGAATCTAGCCCTTGCCACAGCTCTTGTGGAAACCCAAAGGGGACCCGCAGCGCATCCCTCAAAACGCTGACCCTGCAGCCCTGCCGAGTTTCTCACGGGAAACGTAAAATCGGTTCCATGGCTAAAGAAGCATGGGCAACGTACTGCACCGTACTGTGCTCTGGCCCCCGTGTCGGCAGATGTGTGATGCACACACAGCTGATTATAAGGGACCAGAAAGACCCACGGTAAAGAATTCTGTTTACCTTCTTCACCCAGCTTTTCTCAAGTGGACGTGGCCTTGAAGGTGTTTTTGCGTGTAGCTCTGTTAGCACCTGCAGAGCCGGTGTCACTTCTACCTGGAGAGTCTGTCCCAGTTCAGACCCCTCACCCCTAACCCGAGCCCGAGCCCCGGCCAGGCCAGCACAGACACTATGCCTGGGGACAGACGCCTCCTTCCTGCTCAGCAAGCAGCCTAGCTTCCCCCACGCCTCCGGGTACCAGCCACCCAACAGCATTTGGCATGAGCCATGCAGCCTGAGGAGATAAACAGCCCCAGGGGGTGAGGGGTGTTTGATGCGTGGGAAATGTTGGCAGGGCAGGTGGGAGGGGTGCAGGTCTGCCCTGAGACCGGAGACACACTCTGTCACACATCCTGCTAACTCCAGAGGGACCAGCACGGAGGGGCCCAGTCATGCAAATTGGGGCTTAAATTTAACTCTATGTAAATGTAACTCTATGTAAAAGTCTAATAAGGTGGCACACAAACTCACTGATCAGAGAGGGACAGATGCGCAGGGCTGCAAACTGGGGGCCCTTGGACTGCCTTCAGCCCGCAGACTGGCCAGCACCGTGTTTGCTTGTTTGTTTGTTTGTTGATGAAAGCAGGACATTTCACAGGAAAATCCAGCTTATTTCTCTTAAAGCACTGGAAGATTAGGCAGTGCTGAGCTCACATTCCCACTTGGCAACAATTGGTTGGGACCGGGACAGTCATTGTCTTTACCCGAGGCATGACCTTTGTTCCCACCTGGTTGATTTATGTTTTCTACCCAGCCCCCAGGGGTATCTGAGTGGGACCCTTGGACCACATTCTCCAAAGTCCTTCCAGACCCCTCTAAATGCTCTCCTGGCATCACACTTAATTGTTAGTTTTAGAGTTATTTTGCTCCTGGTCTTTAAAAATCAAGTTTTGATCATGGCTCTCCCCCATATAAGAACCTTCACTAGTTGCCTCAAGGTGAGCTTCAAGTTACCCCAGACCTGGAATTCAAGGCACTCAGGAGTCTGGTGCCACTCAAAGCCTGAGAGCTGGGCAGGAAGTTTGTAAAATTATGGATGGATGGATGGATGGATGGATAGAAGGATGAACAGATGGATGGATGGATAGAAGGATGGATGGAAGGATGGATGGAAGAAAGGAAGGAGGGCTAGAAAGAGAGACAGGCTAGTCTTACAGAGTTCTTAGGCTGAGAGAATAGACATGACATACCCACAAAAGGCCCCATGAACATCCAGAATTCACAGCCTGCAAGGCAAGCAGACATGGTTCTCCTGGGATCAGGGAAGAGGGGTTGGAGTTTGGTGGGTGAGCAAGAAAAGCCATCTGAAAGAAGCAAGTGACCAGATGGCTCAAAGACAACTCTTCCCGGCCCAGGCTCCTGCCCAGACACAGCACCATGCATCTCCTCGGCCCCTGGTTCCTGCTCCTTGGTAAGGACTGTGGCCTAGGCTTGGGTTCTGGGAGTCTGTGGGAGCTAGAGGAGGAGGAAAGCTCTGGAGCAAAGAGTAAGTATTGGGGAGGAGGGGACAGGCAGGGTATGTGTGTGTGTACCTTCCTCTCTCCCTCTGTCTTTAGAGGGGATTCTTTATTCATTTGAAAGCTCTTTATGCCCCTCAATAATGTTTTTTGATCACTGTGGTGGGTTCCAGAATACTTGGCCTTCTCTGACTCATCTCAATGGAAGTTTGAGCACCCCCACACCCTCTACACCTGGGATGGGGCCTGCGTCTGGATTCCCTGTGACTACAAAATTCCAGGGAGTAGACAAATGCTGGAAAACCTGACCCTGTACCACAACTATCACTATGACGAGACCCGCAAGGACTTCAGTGGGACCATCCTGTACGATACCGCGAAGGCTGGGAAGACTCTGCCTCACCGGGAGAGGGTTCAATTCCTGGGAGACAAAAAGTCCAACTGCACCATACACATCCACCCTGTGTCCGTCAATGACAGTGGCTGGCTTGGGCTGAGAGTGACAACGAAGAATGACAAATGGATGGAGAAAATAGACCTCAACGTCTCTGGTAAGGCCCTGGGGGATGGGGTTCTCTGCCTCGGTTTCGGGCAAGAAGGGAGGTGGAAAACACCCAGCCCCTGGGACAGGGGTGGCAAGCCAGGCCGGAGGTGCCAGTGAGTGAGCGGGCAGCACAAGATAATGGGGCTGGGGCTGGGGCCAGACCTCTGGTCTCCCCTCGGGCCTCCCACCTGCCACTCAATGCCCGCCCATTCCGGAATCCGGGTTCCAGGTGGCCTGATTTTTTACGAGAAGATGGAAATGTGGATTTTCAAGCAAAATCTCCCAATGCCTTAATGTTGGTGATTAATTCTAATTAGGCCTTCGTGGCTAAATGAGACACATGTAGGGGATGAATCAAGCACGGGCCCGGGGCCTCCACCCCACAGCCTGTGTCTTCCGTGGTGGTGGGGGAGGTGGGGGGGGGGGGTCTAAGCAGCTACACGGGGGTGAGAGCTGTGGTTTCAGACCTGTCGTCTCAGGGTGGCCCAGCCCCGGGGAGAGCTGGAGACACACAGGCCCACTAACGGCACCCACTGAAGGAGCGCCACTCTGGAGGTCTCCAGTGTGGAGGCCATTACAAACGCAGGCTTGTCGGCAAAGCCAAGAAAGGCGTGGGGACCTAAACTGGTAACATTCATTTGGGATGGGGGAGCCATGTCAAAAATGTTTAGAGAGCAAACATCAGGGAGGGGGCACGAGGTACGTATGAAATACAATACGGGATTCCTCAGGAGCGGTGGCATTCACAAGAGAGAGTGTTTCTGCCGAGCAAAAGTGATTCAAAGCAGAGAAAGGCGGCCAGGAGAGAGGTGCAGAGGCGGAAGGGACCGGCGAGGGGCTCCTGAGGGGTTACCTGGGGCTGTAAAGGCAGGTGTGCGAGGTTGGCACACGGGCCCTCGCTCTCCCAGACCCCCAGCACGGCCCCCTACTCTTTTGCAGAGACGCCTCTCTCACCTCACATCCAGCTCCCTCCAGAAATCCAGGAGTCCCAGGAAGTCACTCTGACCTGCTCGCTGAATTTCTCCTGTCCTGGGTACCAGATCCAGCTGAAGTGGTCCCTGGAGGAGCCTGCTGTCACCTCCACCCTCCTGACCACCAAGACCGTGTCCACACAGAGCAAGCTCACCTTCCAGCCGCAGTGGACTCACCACGGCAAGAATCTTTCCTGCCAGCTCTGGGACCCCCGAGCAGAGCGGATACTCTCCGAGGAAAGCGTGGGGCTGGATGTGAAGCGTGAGTGTCCCCCAGGGCCCCCCCGGGAAGGACGAGGGTCTTGTCTCTTCTCTTCCGGCCCTCGAGGGCACCAAGGGTGCCAGGCACCTACACAGAAGGAAACAGGCATCAGGGCTGCATGGTCTCCACCCCCCCCCCCCCCCCGCTCCAGCCCCCGACACCCCCACCCCCACCCCACCCCCGTTATCAAGCCCCAGTGTTTCAGGGAACGGATTCATCTTAGCATCTGCTTTGGTCTATCTAACAGAATAAAATACTTGAATATCCTCGAGCCATGACATGAAGTTGAGATCACGTGGTTACACGGGAGGGGGAGGTGGTAGGCGGGGTAAGAGGCGGTTTCACATCATTGTTCGCGCCTCATTCATTCATTCATCCAATAAATATTTCCTGGGTGCCTCCCAGGTGCCAGGCCCTGTTCTGGCGGTGAGCAAACTTCTTGCCCACTTGGAGCTGGCATGGCAGTGGGGAAGACAAACAGGAAACAGAGTAACAAGGAAACAGAGAACTTAACTGTAGGCAGGGATAAGTGTAGTGGGGGCCAATAAAGCCGGGCAAGGGCAGAGGGAGGGAGGGATAGAGGCTTCTCTGAGGAAGGTGAACCTGAGGGAAGGGAAAGACTGGGGCACGCAGATGTTTATTTGCGAGAAGATTCCAGAAAGAGGAAAGAGCGAGGACGAGGGCCTCGAGGTAGGAGCTCGGTGTGCCTGCGACAGAGCAGGGGGCCCAGCGGGAGGAAAGGAGGGCCAAGGGCAGATCTCACGGGCTGCAGCAGGGTTTGGGGTTGTATTCTGAGCGTGGAATCCGCGCAATGGTTTCAAGCAGGGGAGTAACAAAGTCCGAGCGACAGTGTTAGGAAGGCTGGCGGTTGCCCGGTGACTAGAACTTTGGAGAGCCGGGGGCGTGTGTGGAACAGAGACAAGTTAGGAGTCTGTGAGAGTCACCTGGATGCTGGGGCCAGCCCACCCCCCGTGGACGAGGGTCACGCGAGTGGCCGCACACACGCACACACTACGTTTAGCTGCCGCTTTATCAGAATCAAAGCCCTGCAACTTCCCACCACGATACACCCTCTGAGAGGTCCCACCCCCTCTCCCACTGCGCCCCCTGCTCCTCTAGATGCCCCAAAGTTGAAGATTGAGGCCACCTCCAGAGAAGCCATCGTAACAGAGGGAGGGTCTGTGACCATGAGGTGCCAGGTCCTCAGCAGCAACCCAAGCTACCAGAATATAGCCTGGCTCAAGGATGGGACCCTGCTGAGGGAGGAGGAGACACTCACGCTGACTCTGTCCACTGTGACCAAGGAGATGAGTGGGAAGTACCAGTGTGAGGCCTCCAATGAAATAGGCCCAGGACAGTCGGAAGAAGTGGACCTTCAAGTATATTGTGAGCCTCCTGGGAGCTGGGAGGGGGGCAGGCAGGGAGTTAGCAGGGGGTGGAACCAAGGCCCTCGAGAGGTGAGCAAGGGAGGCCCTGGCTCACCTCCCTCCTCTGCCTCTGCGGGCTTTTTCCAGATGCTCCGGAATCTTCCAGAGTTGAGATCCTCCCCTCACCAGCTAAGGAGGGAAATAAAGTACAGATGACTTGTGTGTCACCGGCCAATCCTCCTCCAACAAATTACACCTGGTATCACGATAAGAAAAAAGTACCCGGAAGGACAAGCAAGACCTTCCAGATCCCAGCGGTCCTCCTCGGGCACGCGGGGTATTATTCCTGCTTGGCCGAAAACAGCCTTGGTACTGGACAAGTTGGCGGGGAAGCTGAGTTAGATGTCCAGTGTGAGTAGTCACAGGGCTTCTGGGTTCTAGAGGGAGAAAGAGGAAGGGAAATGGAGCACAGGGCATTCCCGGGTCCTCGAATGGGTGGCAAGCAGAGGCCGGGGTCTCTCAACGTGTAAGCCCCTGGGGTGGGTGCCTCGCTGTCGTCCCCGGTTGCACACCCAGCACCAGAACAGGGTCTGTCTCGTGGTAGGTGCTCGGTAGATGTTTGTCGAATGAACGAAAGCAAGATGCCAGGGCCCCATGAGGGACACGGAGACTCGGCATCACGAGGCAGTGGCTGAGCCCCAGGAGGGGGCCTGATGTGTCGGAGGAGAACTGGAGCAAAATGTCTCGTTACCTCCCCATCGGAGGTCGGACCCTGTTTAACACAGTGAATCGTGTCAGTGAGTCGAGCCCAGGACAGAGAGGGTCCATAGGTTTGATCCTCGGACCCTGCGATGTCAGAGTCTGAGCCAGATACTCTGATGGGGACGCTCCAATCCCAAACATCTAGACAGCGTGTGACCCAGCGGCAGCGGCGTTTACTAAGCATTTGCTCTGCCCTGGCTGCTTCAGCTCATTTCGTCCTCGCAATGATCCTACAAGGTTAGGGACTCTTAGGACCCCACCTGATGGATAAGTAAACTGAGTCCCGCGGCCCACGATCACTCAGCTCTAAGTCACGGCGTCTGCCAGTCTGGCTCCAGAGCTGTGCTTCTCCCCCAGTGAATGCCCGCACCGCAGCGAACTGACTCTGTGCCCCCCGCCCACGCGGAGGCCCGCAAACAGCGCGCCTCTGTCTCCCACGCACCACGCGTTCTCTGCTGGAGCTCTGCTCTGAGCATCATCCTGCCTCAAACCGGGGCCAGGCCAAATGGCCGGGGTTTCTGTCCTCACACAGATGCAAGAGGGAAGCACAAGGCTTCCTTTGGTTAATTTAGGAACCGTGTGAATGCGGGGGAGGGGTGGGGGAGAGGGAGGCGCCGGGAAAGGTAGAGACGGACAGCTGACTTTCCCTCGCCCATCTCTCTGGTTTTCTCCCAGATCCTCCCAAGGAGGTAACCACAGTGATTCAAAACCCCGCACCGATTCGAGAAGGAGACAATGTGACCCTGTCCTGTAACTACAATTCCAGTAATCCCGAAGTTACCCGATACGAATGGAACTTCCAAGGCTCCTGGAAAAAACCATTACGCGAGGTGCTGGTAATTGAGAAAGTTTCCTGGGACGCCAGGCCAATCTCCTGTGCAGCCTGCAACCAGTGGTGTTCGTGGGCTCCCTCTGTCAGCCTGGATGTCCTGTGTGAGTGAGCGGGCAAGGGGATCGGAGAGGTGGGCCAGCTGGGGTATGGGCTCTGAGGGGGAGGGGACTGGGGCCTGGGCCAGAACTTTCACAGAGAACTGAGGGCTGAACGTCTGGCCTCGGGGCCCAGGGGAGAGGAAGTCCTGGGGACAAGAAGAGGGAAAGGGGCCCAAGAGGTCAGCCTGACCCCTTGAGGCCCTTGCTCTCCAGATGCCCCAAGAGATGTCAGGGTCCAGCAGATCAGCCCCGCTTCTGACATTCACTCCGGGCACCGAGTCCTCCTTGGATGTAACTTCTCAAGTAGCCGCCCCAGAGACGTCCACTTCTTCTGGAAGAAAAACGGAATCTTTCTGAAGGAGGGAAGAGAACTGACCTTTGACGCCATCTCTCCAGAAGACGCTGGCAATTACAACTGCTTGGTCAACAACTCCGTAGGACAGACCATGTCTGAGGCCAGGATCCTCCAAGTGCTGTGTGAGTGGCTGGAGCTGGCGACAGACAGAAGAGCAGGTGGCCGGCTACCTGGATCCTGATTTCGCTTCTCCTTATAGATGCACCGAGGAGGCTGCGTGTGTCCATCGGCCCAAAGGACCAAGTGATGGAGGGGAAGAAGGCAGTCCTGACATGTGAGGGCGACGCCAACCCTCCCATCTTCCAGTATAGCTGGTTTGACTGGAAAAACCAAAACCTCCAGCATTATGATCAGATGCTGAGATTGGATCCCGTGAAGGTCCAGCACTCAGGAGCCTATCGGTGCCAGGCCATCAACCGGCTGGGCATGGGCCAGTCGACCCCCAGCACCCTCACTGTCTACTGTAAGTCTCCTTCCCTCTTCTTCTCTGACCCCGCTTTCTCCTTCCTTCCCCCGCCCCAGTCCTGGGGGGCAGCCTGGTGCATCACTCCCAGGCACCCCCCCCGTCCCCCCCCCACTCACCTTTCTTCCCCCCTTCTCCCCGTCACTCCTGACTCTCTCTAGGAGGGCTCCCTCTCAGGCTGCCCCCGCCTTCCAGACACCCTGAGCTCTTACTGGGTCCCTCTCTGTCTCTCTCTGTCTCACCCTTGATAGGCTGCTTCTTTTTATCTTTTGGGATTTTAGCTTTTTTTTTTTTTTTTTTTTTAAGACAAGGTAAAGCTAAAACAGCACGAGGGGGTAAATGGTAGCAAGACCCCTCTCCCTTCTTTCTCCCTGAGAACTCGACCCTCTCCCTGAAGGCCTTCACTCCCGGCGGCTGGTTGCGTCTCTTCACAGAGCTGCTCTACACGCGCAAGACGCTTTAAGTAGATCTAGGCCTATACACCCTTCGTCACGCAACTCGTGAGAGAGCCCACACATTGCCCTGGATGTTCTTTTGTTTCCCCACGTAACAATACCACTTGGAGACTGTTCTCTATCCGCGCATGTACAGCATGTCTGAAGGGTCTGGAAACAATAGGGAAGATATTTAATTTGTTTATTGTGCTTTTGCAGATTAAACTTGGAGCCATGGTTTTAAACTTAGAGGATCATGCCCTGCAAAGCTGGATGCTGAGGGGAGACAGCCTGAGCAGTGTTATTTGGAAATGCAGCGTACTGTATAAAAACCTGTTTCTGGGGTCTCCGCTTTGCAGACACCCCGGAGACCTGCCTCTTTCCTTCAGGGCTGCCTTGTCAGTGTATTCCCATGCATGGAAGCGCTCAGTGCCTTCCCTACGGCCTTGTGTCGTCTCCGGCTCTGGGCTCCCAGGAAGGACAGTGGCAGGATAAATTTCTACATGGCATTGCTACGCCAAAGCACAAGTGATTTCACGTTCTGATAAGCAAGGCCAAGCGGTAGCCTTTACTGCGTACTCTGTGTGTGCACCTGTGTCTGTCACAAGACAGGTGTTTCCCAGGAGAGTCAGCCCTTTCCTCCTCATGGGGCCCAGAAGGCAGGGACTGGCTTCTCCCTTCCTCTGCATCACGTCCCCTGCGTGCGGAAGGGGAGTCTGGAAGGCAAGGACAGCGGCCATGCAGAGAGGTTGAGGATTCCTTCCAGGCGGATGCTGCAGGCCAGAGGTTATCGGAGAGATGCAGTGTCACCAACTCATGGTCGCTCTTCCCCCCACCAGACAGCCCAGAGACCATCGGCAGGCGAGTGGCCGTGGGAGTGGGGTTCTGCCTGGCCGCCCTCCTCCTGGCCTTCTGGGGAGTCAAGCTTCAGAAAAGGTGAGCAACTCCCAAGGCCCGTCTCTCCCTGATTCCTTCCCTGGAGTGACTCCCATTAGCCATCCTGTCGACCCCGCATGCCCGACTCCACGGGGTCCTGTTCCCATCCCCCTGAGCCTCACCGAGCGGGATTTTGTTTCTTAGCTGGAAGAAGATACGGAGCCAGCAGGGGCTCCAGGAAAATTCCAGTGGGCAGAGCTTCTTTGTGAGGAATAAAAAGGTAGGACATGGGAGAAAGATGAGATGGAGGGCAGACCTTAAAGTCAAGCGGAGACAAAGTGAAGATGGGATGCAAGGAGCACCGTGGGGAGGCGTGGGGGTCTTGGCGGAGAATGGAGTGGTGAGAGCCGAGACCCCGTCTCTCTCCCAGGTTCGAAGGGCCCCGCTCTCCGAAGACCCTCACTCCCTGGGGTGCTACAATCCGGTGATGGAAGATGCCATCAGTTACGCGACTTTGCGCTTTCCTGTCGGTGACGCCGACGCACCAATAACTGGGTACTGAGTGAGGGTCCTGGGAGGGAGGAATGGCTCGTGTCCTTTCTGCCCTCTTTGTGCCCGGTACGGGAACCAGGCCCTGCTCTGGGGTGCTCTCAGGGTCTAAGGGAGCTGGAAGTAGGAGGGGAGTTCGTGCGAAATACTTCATCTGCGGCCATCCACCTGCCCTCCCTCTCAGAGACGCAGGGACCCCAGAGACAGAGGGACCTTCCCCAAACAGGGACGACACGGTCACTTACTCCGTGGTGCAGAAGCATCGAGTGGTAAGAGGGCGGGGCTGTGGGAGGTGAGGGTGGGGTAGGTGGGGGACCTGGCCTCAGCTGTGACTCCCAGGAGGGAGGGACTCGGTGGCCTCAGTGGGGGCCAGGGCTGCTGGTGGGAGGGGTGCTCAGGCACAGGTGTCAGAGCCAGGGTAGCGCCTCCCAGTCGGAGACGCAGAGCGCGGCCGGTGTGTGGACAGGAGGACCCCCGGGTGGAGCCAAGGAGAGGACAGGCAGGGAATGCAGACGGGGTGGGGGGGGGGAGGTGGCGACCGGGAGGCCAACCTTACACCCCGTGGCTTTTGCAGGGAGACTATGAGAACGTGGTTCCAGAGAGTCCGGAAGACGAGGGGATACATTACTCCGAGCTGGTTCATCTTGGGATTGGGGAGCGGCCTCTGGCCCAGGAAATGGTGGAATATGTGACCCTCAAGCACTGAGGAGCCAAACCCGCCGAAGCAGAGGCGAGGCGCCAGGGGACCGCAGGGGCCAGGCCCCGCCCCTGCTGCTCAGCAGGCCCCAGCCTCCCCTCCACACACACGCGCAGGCACACTCGCACGGTTACTGAAACCCCAGCCAGTGCACAGAACCTCGTGCGTCGCCCAGAGACAGCCTTCCTTCTCAACGCTGGGGGCCCTGGCCCTCCCAAAGGCCTGCTCCTGGCCCGCTCTCCTTTCCACCCAGAAAGTCATCTAAACACCTAGCCTGCGCCCCTCCCCCGCCATCTGCCACCACCCATCCCCAGCTGGCCGTGTCCCTGCTGGGATCGGCTTGTTACTATACTTTTTTCTTCCCCTCTCCATCCCTTTGGCCCCCTTGCCCCTGCTCTGAAAGTCCCCTCACTAATTCTATGCCTAATGTCTGCCTCTGAGGCAAAGCCCAGGGAAGGAGGGGCAAAAATGAGGGAGAAAGACTTGCTGGCCCGCTGGTTGCTCCTCCACGTGTCAGCGAGGCATCCCACGTGGAGAGGATTACGCTGCTGAGCCCCACGCCTCAGGGGTCTTGTGGTCTGAGACACACGCTGGTGTGGACAGACGTGTCACAAACACAGAGCTGCACAATAAAAACAGCTCGGATACCACTTCAAAGAACCCGTGCCTGTGGAGTCAGGGTGAGGACGGGGAGATGAAGAGGGCATCATGGGGCCTGGGGAGAAGGCAAAGGAGTCAAGGTAACCTTAGGACCGAATCAGCGGACTGGGGAGTCTGTTGTCTTGTTGCAAACGGTACACTGGCCCGGCAGGCAGACAAGTGCGAGTCTGAGTCCTGACTCTTCTGCTTGCCCAGCTGAGTGATCTTGGGCAAGTTCACCAAGTTTATCTGAGTCTCAGTTTCCTCATCTGTAAAATGGAGGTGCCACTACCTACCGTGCAGGCGGTTCAAGGGAGGAAGTGAAAGGGGCACCTGGGTGGCTCGGTCGGTTAAGGGTCCAACTTCGGCTCAGGTCATGATCTCTCGGTTCGTGGGTCCAAGCCCCGCATAGGGCTCCGTGCTGCTGGATTGGACCCTGGAGCCTGCTTCAGATTCTGTGTCTCCCTCTCTCTCTGCCCCTCCCCCAGTCGTGCGCACGCTCTCTCTCTCTCTCTCTCTCTCTCTCTGTCTCTCTCTCTCCAAAATAAACAAACTTTAAAAAGAGAGAGAGAGAGGAAGTGAGGTGCTGGAGTCACCTTGTAAGAAACTTAACACAATAGCCAAAAGTCCCTAAAAAACCAAATTCCCATCTTGTTTGCATCTCTTGAAGAACGTAAGAAGGGGAAGCCAATTCATCACTCACAGCTGTTCTCAAAAGTGACCCTGCCAAGTTCGGTCAACAGCCACAGTTGCCCAAGAACTTCTCGAAGGCCAGTCGCCTTGAGAAACCTCACGACGTTTCTTTCACCTGTCGTCACTGCCGCCAGTTCCCTATTATGTTCACGAATTCTGACTTTTCCAGTTAGGTCCTTGCAGCTTCCCCTCCGCTTCTCAGTTCCCACCTTTCTCTGCCTGTTCTTTTAGAAGCAGAACCAGGTGTCTAATCAGTCAGCAAGAAGATGCAAACTCCTGGCCTGTGGTGGGTGCTCCAAAAGTTCCACCTTCCTTCCCTGCCCTGCCTTCCCATCCGCTCAATACCAGAATGTTCTCTGAGGAGATGTTCTTTTTTTTTTTTTTAATGTTTATTTATTTTGAAAGAGAGCGAGCGAGAGAGAAAGTGTGAATGGGGGGAGGGGCAGAGAGAGAGAGAGACAGAGAGAGAGAGAGAGAGAGAGAGAGAGAGAGAATCCCAAGCAGGATCAATCTCACGACCTTGAGATCATGACCTGAGGGGAAATCAAGAGTCAGATGCTTGGGGCGCCTGGGTGGCGCAGTCGGTTAAGCGTCCGACTTCAGCCAGGTCACGATCTCGCGGTCCGTTGAGTTCGAGCCCCGCGTCGGGCTCTGGGCTGATGGCTCAGAGCCTGGAGCCTGTTTCCGATTCTGTGTCTCCCTCTCTCTCTGCCCCTCCCCCGTTCATGCTCTGTCTCTCTCTGTCCCCAAAATAAATAAACGTTGAAAAAAAAAATTAAAAAAAAAAAAAAAAAAAGAGTCAGATGCTTAACTGAGCCACCCAGGTGCCCCTGAGAAAGACCACGTTCTGGTCATCCTTGAAGTTGCGGCACAATGAGGCATTGATTTCCCCCATCAACTCACTTTGTCCCCAGTGTGATTTCTCGTGAGCCCCGTTAGCATTTCTGGAGGAAGGAGAGACTGCAAGAATTATTTAAGTGAGAGGGTTTCTGTATCAAGAATGAGGTCCAGTATCATTCAACCATTCAACCATTTATTCAGCAAATATTTACTGAGCACCTGTCAATGCATCCAACACAGACCAGTTATTGGGGGACAAAAAAGATACGACATCACCCCAATCTTGGGGATCTCTAATCTAGGGTGCCCAAAAGGTTTTAGGGCAGGGTCCCCTCAAAGGACTAAAGGTGGCCCTGAACCTGAGGAGGCCTGTACAGGCTCCCTGGCAACCAGCGGGTGTCTCCTCATTCCGTCCGAGTACGGCGGCTGACGGAAACCTATTTCGTGGCCAGCTGACTGAGAGATGTGGCTGTCACCAGGCGGTGCTGAGGTGTGCATGGCAGGTGACCAGGAAGCTCTGAAGCCGGGACTCCAGGATCCAGGCGGCCCTCCACCCAGCCCCGGGCCTCACTGTCCTCCCAGGGCCCAGACAACTGGTCACTCGTTCAGTTACCGAGCCCCTACTATGTACGCGACAAGCAGTGGACGAGGCAGACAGACCTCTTCACCCTCACTGACCGACGTGCCAGCAGAGGAGCTAGCGAATCTGATGTCGCAGGGTCTTGAGTGTTAGAATTAACCCAAGATGAAGGCAGAGAGCCTGGAGCAGGGGAGGGGCCCATGTGGAGAGGGTCCGAGGAATGCCCTCCTCAGAGGCGATGCGGGCAGAGACCTGAACCGCCAGGTGGGCAGGGCCGAAGTAGAGCTCTTGATAATCCTATGTCTCCCCTCACGCCCTGCTTTCCTCCTCTCCAAAGGCTTGTCATGGGAGAGGAAATGGCCCTCCTTCTGATTTTTCCTTGGTTCTGTCAGCTTCCCAAAGACAAAATAACAAACAACAGGTGGCAAATTCTTCTACACCCCCAGGGAGGTGCTGGACCACATATGTAGGACATGGACGGGAGGCGTGAGTGACTGAAGTCCGGAAAGGGAATTCGATCATTTCTTTGGAGGCGACTGCCAGGGGGAGGCTCACGCCATCCAGGCCTTAGTGAGTGCCGCCCAGGGTCCCTCCCAGTGCCCCAGAGACAGGCAGTGTGGGGACCGCAGCCCAGCACTTCAGCGCCACCAAATGAGGCTCGTCCCTTGCCTGTCCTCCTCCCCGCTCCTGCCAACGCCAGAAGAAAGGGTCAGAAACTACAGTCATCAAGCCAGAAGGGAGAGGAGAGGGAAAACAGAGAAGCCCTCTCCTCCCAAAATGTGCCCACAGCCTGTGTGGGTCCAGGGAGGGCAGAGGAAACTGCTTGAAATGATTAATTCATTTTCCCACATATCAGTCCCCGGACACGGTGTGGGCCACCAAAGTTTTTATCTGCGAGTGAGCCCAAAAGGCTGGGGCCTGCCCACGGGCTCACCCAGGAGGAGAGAAGCCAGTGCCCACAGCGGGTCTGAACAAGCCGTGGTCTGGTCGTACCCCAACAGCCCTGCTCCTTTAAGGGACTAGCTACACACTCCTCACGCTGCCTAGAAAAAGCCCTCACTGCTGCCCCCTTCCTGTGTCTGCATCAGCTGTTTGGACCCTCACCTCCTGGCCTCCGCTCCTGCCTGAGATGCCCCATTAGCTGCTCAGCCAGGCTGCTGGTGCCTCAAGCTAATGGCCCTGCCACCCCGCCCTCCTCTCCCTTCCGGCTCACTGCCCATCCTGGACACCCTCCCTCAGGCCATCGAGGGGGACTCCTGAGCCTCAGAGACATCTGGCAGCACCAAGAGGTGAGTCCCTCTTTCTGTGGCTCCTCTCCCCACGGCGGTTATTCCCCAGACCCCCCAGTTTACCTGCTTAGGATGCTCCCTGAGGTTGGTCAAGGTCATTCTCTGTGGCACTGATGGGACCCGACTTGCCCTGGCTCTGCCCTGGCGCCCCGCCTCGCCTGCCCTTTACCACAGCCTTCACCTTACCCAAATCCTGACAACCCCCCCCCCACTCCACTGTCTGCGGGGCAGGCTCTCCACGGTCCTGGGGGGTGTGGGGGGCAGCTGCTTCTCTTCCCAGGGAATTAGGGGAGAGGGGTGGACTCAGGAGACTTAGTCCTAGGAAAAACACACACACGGTGGGACCCGGCTCTAATTTTCTACCCTTTCTCTCCCCAGTCTCAGAAATCAGGAGGCTCTCCCTCCGATGGGACCCGCACGCTTCCATGGTGTTTTAAGAGAGGATACGGTGGGAAGAAAGCAGAGGACTGAGGGCTAGCAGTCCTCGCTCCTCACTCGGGCTCACCTGCTAACTGGAGCCGCTTCTCTCCGAGGGCCTCCCTCATTGAGACAGTTGATATCTCACAGGACGGCTTCTAATACCCTAGCAGTCTGTGATCCCAGGAGCCCCCGATCCCCCCACCCCTCCACGGGCCTAGCCGAGGCTGGGGAGCGAGTGGAGGTCAGGAGCGTGGAGGCCAGCCCTGGCCCCATGGACCTGCCCCCACAGCTCTCCTTCGCCCTCTACGTGGCCGCCTTTGCACTGGGCTTCCCACTCAACGCCCTGGCCATCGGGGGCGCCGTGTCCCATGCCCGGCTCCGCCTCACCCCCAGCCTTGTCTATGCCCTCCACCTAGGCTGCTCTGACCTCCTGCTGGCAGCCTCTCTGCCCCTGAAGGCGGTGGAGGCCCTGGCCTTGGGCGCCTGGCCTCTGCCGGCCTCGCTCTGTCCTGCCTTCGCCCTGGCCCACTTTGCTCCGCTCTATGCTGGCGGGGGCTTCCTGGCTGCCTTGAGCGTCGGCCGCTACCTGGGGGCTGCCTTCCCCTTGGGGTACCAAGCTGCCCGGAGGCCGCGTTATTCCTGGGGTGTGTGTGTGGCCATATGGGCCCTTGTCCTCTGTCACCTGGGGCTGGTCTTTGGGTTGGAGGCTCCAGGAGGCTGGACAGACAATACCAACAGCTCCCTGGGCATCAACACGCCAGTGAACGGCTCTCCGGTCTGCCTGGAGGCCTGGGACCCGGCCTCAGCGGGCCCTGCTCGCCTCAGCCTTTCTCTCCTGCTCTTCTTCCTCCCCCTGACCATCACAGCCTTCTGTTACGTGGGCTGCCTCCGGGCACTGGCCCGGTCAGGCCTGAGCCACAGACGGAAGCTGAGGGCAGCCTGGGTGGCCGGCGGGGCTCTGCTCACACTGCTGCTCTGCTTAGGGCCTTACAACGCCTCCAACGTGGCTGCCTTCCTGCGCCCCGACACGGGGGGCCACTGGCGGAAACTGGGGCTCATCACGGGTGCCTGGAGTGTGGTGCTCAACCCGTTGGTGACTGGCTACCTGGGAGGGGGTGCGGGCCGGGCGACAAGTGTGGCGAGAACGAAAGGAGGGACATCCCAGAAGCAGCAGCCGCCGCTGGAGAGAAGGGGCATGGAGCAGGGGAGGCCGGCTGCTCTCGCAGGCCCCTGATGGGGACTGCGCCGAAGGAACTGCAGGGCGGCCTTGCCTGGAAGCACCCTTGGAACCGCTTATGGGAAGAACTGAGCCTGGCCGAAGACCGCATCCCAGCGGAGGGAAGACGGAGGCCAGGGGCCAGGTCACAGGAGGAAGGTAAGCTTGCCTCCGCATACACCAGCGTGACTCCCCACCTCTGCCTGTCCCTCTTCTCCTCGCGCCCACCTGCCAATGCTGTAGAAATTCTCTTCCAGTCTAGAGGAAATGCCACACTGATGATACGTTCGGGGGGGATGCTGTTCCCCAAACATCTCCTAGGAAAGAATATTTTAATTTCTGAACAAGAGAAGAGGCAGGAGGCAAGATACTGACACTGTTATGCCGTTTGGCACTCACAAGAGGGCAGCACTGGAACTGTGAACGGGAGGTTGGTAGGAAAAGACGCCTCCGCAGGGAGAGAAAATACTAGAGAAAATACACACCACGAAGAGTCCCTAACGAATAGAGTCTCTGATATGGGACAGTCACCACGGCGAGTGCTTTACAAGTGTTGTCCCATTTCATACTCACACGATCCTCTGGTTTGGCTACGCAGCTGCCGTACAGATGGGCAGGTTGTTCACTGCACGAGAGTGCCAGGCAGACGGACAAACATCGACTAAAGTCTAGCCTGTGCTGTGCTCACCGATCCATGTGCCCGGCATGGGACTACTTCCATCCAGAGAAAGAAGCACGTTATTCTAACTTGAACAAAGATATCACCCACTCCTCAAGCAGGGCGCCTCGGTGGAGGGCGCTACCACCTGGAGTGGGGTGCCTTTTCCTAATTTGTACAAAGGCGCCCCTTAAGTTAGCTATGGTCCCGGAGCCAAGTATTATTATCATCTTCATTTTTGAAGGATTAAGGAATTGTCCTGAGGCTCTACAGTAAGGAAGGGGTGGACGCGTGATGCGATCCTTCAAGGCAGGACCCCCGAGAGTCAGGGGACATATGAAAGAACTTGAGGTATTGGTGTGAACGCCCGTCCTTGTGGTCCACTTTGCAAAGGCAAACAGTGGCACCCTGAACCCGTGAGAGCAGGGAGAGGAGAGTGGTCATGGAGGAGACAAACATCTGGGCACCTGCTCTGATGAGGCAAGATGCGGGAAGCAGACTTGTTCCTCTAAAGGCGATCACGCCGCAGGCATAGCCTATGCCACAGAACGGGTAGCTGCATGCCTGGCGTGCACGCGCTGGTTTATACAAGCTACCTCTTTTTATGCGTCAGTGTCTACAAGGGCAAGGGATTTCATTTGCTCATCTGCCCCCAGCACCTTAGAAGGGAGCTTGGCACGTAGCAGCAGGTTCTCAGGAAGTGTCTGCCGAACAAATGAATGCTCGCAAGAGCCTTCCAAAGAAAATTTCATTATCTGTTTTACATGAAAACAGACCAGAGAAGTTACATAACTTGCCCGGGGCTCCGCAGAAGCAAGAAACCAGTTTATTCCCTGCACAGCGCTGACAGCAGAGAATTTCAGTAAAAGCCCGAACTCCTGAGCACAAGCGGCCTCACTGCCCCTTCCCATAAAGCCAGGGACGCTCTCTCCCACCGCTCTGGAGCTCCAGCTGGTGCTGGGCCATTTGTCCCAGAGAATTGTGCCGCCTCCATTTGGCGGTGGAATTTAGTTCCTCCCGAGGGTCCACGATGCCCCACGTGATCCGCCCCCCAGCACCCTGGTGACCCCCACCCCGTCAGCCCTAAGCCTTCTAGAGGCCCCCCCCAGCAGATTAGCCTGTGCACCCACCTTTCTGTTTGCCTGAAGGGCCTCCCCAGTGGTTCTCTGCCTCTGTTAGTCTGTCCTACCCTCCTACCACTCAATCCCCTTAGACCTCACCACCACCAGACCCACGGCAGCAACATCTTTGTTTTGCTCACCATTTTTTTTAAATTTTTTTAACGTTTATTTATTTTTGAGACAGGGAGAGACAGCATGAATGGGGGAGGGTCAGAGAGAGAGGGAGACACAGAATCCGAAACAGGCTCCAGGCTCTGAGCTGTCAGCACAGAGCCTGACGCGGGGCTCAAACTCACGGACCGCGAGATCATGACCTGAGCCGAAGTTGGATGCTTAACCGACTGAGCCACCCAGGCGCCCCTGCTCACCATTTTTAACAACTTACTTGAGATAAAATTTACGTATCATAAAATTCACCCATTTCAAGTGCACACGTCAAGGGTTTTTAGTACTCTGACTAAGGCTTGCAACCATCACTATAATCCAGGTTAGAACACGGTCGTCACCCCAGTAAGAGCCCTCCTGCTCGTTTACAGCTGATTCCATTTCCCCCTACGTCCCCAGGCAACCGGCAATCGACTTTCTACTTTCTGTCTCCATAAAGTCGCCTATCTTGGACAATTCATATAAACGGAAACATACGATATATGGTCTTTTATGTCTGGCTTGTTTCACGTGGCATAATGTTTTTGAGCTGCACCCATATTCTGGGCGTTTCATTCCTTCCTATTGCCAAAGAGTATTCCATCGCGTGGATATGCCACGTGGTGGATCCGTTCGCCAGCTGATGGGCCACCAGGGGATGTTTCTACTTTGGGGCCATTATGAACATTGCTTAAGTAGATACCTATTAGTGGAGCTGGGTCACTTGGTAGATTTACGTGAACTGTTTCAAGAAACTGCTTCCCAAAGGCACCCTACAATTTTATATTTTTACCAGCAAAGCATGAGGACTCTCATTCCTCCACATCCTCCCCACCACTTGGTATTACCAAATTTTTTGCTTATGGCCATCCCAGCGGGTACAGAATGGTATCTCATTATGTTCCATAAATATTTGAATGAATACATAAAGAAGAAGTCTCTGAAGCTGGACAGAGCTTCAGTTTGAACCCTGCTGGTGATGCTTAACAGGCTGCAGCAATGAGTCACCTCCCCACTGTGAGGCGAAGGGCAGGTTGGCGATGCCCTCAGAAGCAGAGTGCCTGCCACGGATTACGTGCCCCCTCAATCATCATTATCATTATTAGTGCTGTTGTTATTCCCATCACCCCAGAGACAAGCCCACACCCATGACTGCGATGTTGGCAGCTAACATCTGTTAGTACTTACCATAACATGCCCACTTCCCTTCTCAGCACTCGACAGGCAGTAGCAATGCCTTAATCTAACAAAACCCTACGAAATTGGTACTGTGATTATCCCTGCTTTGCAGACGAGAAAGCAGAGCTCGAGAGTTTGGGTCACTTGCCCCAAATCCCAGAGTTAGTGACGGAGCCGGCATCGCACCCGGGCTCTGGCTCCGGAGCACGGGCCCTCCATCACTGCGTCGTGCTTCCTGCCCTTACAAGGCAAGTTGGACGACCGCCATTCCAGAGAAGCAGATACAATTCAAGTGGAGGATCAGGGAGGGGAAGATGAGGTCGGCTCGGGGCTGGGTAGAGCATCCCCTCCGAGGCAGCCAGAGAGCACGCCGCGGTGGAATTTGCTCCTCATTTTGCATACTCGCGCGGTGCTGGTGATGGAGCAAAAGGCATCTTTTGTGCGATTGCCCAACGGTGAATGAGGTCATCTGTCTTTATCAGTTCTGCCAGATAAATAGCTAACTATATTTCTCTAGAGGAGCCGGCGAGGTGCTGGGGCAAAAGCATTTGGGTTCTCAAATAAGCAGGTGAGCACGGGGCTCTGGGGGGTCTGGAGGGGGAGCCTCGGCGCTTGCTTTTCTCGGGGAAGGGACAGGCGACAGGGTATGCCCAGGAAGACAGGCAGGCTGACGCTGCTGAGGAAAGCATCAGGGGGGCAATGAGGGAGTCGGGGCGGTGACAGTGTTCCCTGCCAACGGTCGAGATGCCGTCGGCATGGGGCGCCAAGGTCCCCACCCAGACTGCCACCTCCGTCCGCCTCTTTCTCCAGTGGCCATCACCATGGACACCAGCCCGGACCGGTCCTTCTTCCCCGGCAATCACTGGCTCTACTTCTCCGTGTACCTCTTCACCTTCCTCGTGGGGCTCCCCCTCAACCTGGCGGCCCTGGTGATCTTCGTGGGCAAGCTGCGGCGCCGCCCGGTGGCTGTGGACGTGCTCTTGCTCAACCTGACGCTCTCAGACCTGCTCCTGCTGCTCTTCCTGCCCTTCCGCATGGTGGAGGCGGCCAACGGCATGCGCTGGCCCCTGCCCTTCATCTTCTGCCCCCTCTCCGGATCCCTCTTCTTCACCACCCTCTACCTCACCTCCCTCTTCCTGGCAGCTGTGAGCGTCGAACGCTTCCTCAGCGTGGCCTACCCGCTGTGGTACAAGGCCCGGCCGAGGCCGGGACAGGCCGGCCTGGTCAGCGGGGCCTGCTGGCTCCTGGCTGCCGCTCACTGCAGCGTGGTCTACGTGATGGAATTCTCCGGGAAGGCCACCAACGGCACCTGCTACCTGGAGTTCCAGAAGGACCAGCTGGCGATTCTCCTGCCCGTCAGGCTGGAGATGGCTGTGGTCCTTTTTGGGGTGCCCCTGCTCATCACCATCTACTGCTACAGCCACCTGGTGTGGGTGCTCAGCAGAGGCACCAACCACCGGCGGCGGAGGAGGGTGGTTGGGCTCGTGGTGGCCACGCTGCTCAACTTCCTCGTCTGCTTTGGGCCCTACAACGTGTCCCACGTCGTGGGCTACATCCGGGGTGAAAGCCCGGCGTGGAGAAGTTACGTGCTGCTCCTCAGCACCTTGAACTCCTGCGTCGACCCGCTTGTCTACTACTTTTCATCCTCTGGGTTTCAGGCTGACTTTCAGGGGCTGCTGAGGAGGCTGACGGGGGCCTGGGGCCCTTGGAGGCAGGAGGACAGCAAGCAACTGAAGGACAAGAATGAGGAGGGGGGCAGCCGGGGGAGCTGTCCAACGTAGAGAACAGGAGGGAGACTCCTGGAGGGCTGTGGAGCAGGCTGGGCTGCCGAGGGGCCTGGCGGCGGCTCTCGTAGCTCAAGTCGGGCAGGACCGGGGAGCAGGGGGCTGGGGACTGACGTGACTGAGCACCAGGCTGTGCTCACCCAAGCCCGGCTCTCGGTCTCACCCACCTGCCCTCGCTTCCCATCCCCTGCCCCCTAGGGATTCGGGCCTGGGAAACAGGAGGAGGGCGGGCACCAGAGAAGCGGGAGCCCCCACGGCCAGCTCCTGGGCTTTCCTTAAGGTGACGGAGGAGGAATCGACAGCAGTGACGAAGGCCTGAGAGATGTGCCAGGCAGTGGAAGAAGCCACCCTTCAGAGCTGTTCCTACCCAGCAGGGTGAGAGTGGGGACACAGGCCAGGCTTCAGGGAGCATCCTGCTCTCACAGAAGGTTCCCATTGTTCAGTAAATTCAGACTTTTAGGGACATTTATGAAAAATTACAGTAGAAAAATTACCAATAAATTTGGTAGCAAGCAAAAGAGAACGGTCTTTCCTTATTCCGAGGGATTGGGCCCAGGCAGGTTTTTTTTTTTTTTTTTGCTTATGATGTATCTGCATCAGGTGGGATTGATGGATGGAAGGATAAAACACCAGACTCCAGCGGGAAAGGGCTAAACCATAGGATGCCTAGATGTCGGGAGAGGATCCAGGTTGGAGGCATAAAAATACCAGCTCACTTAGGGGAAGGACTTGGCCTGACCCATTATCTTCTTCGACAACCCTGTGGCAGGTACTGTTATTAAATGAGCAAATGAGAATAACTCACTTTACACACGAGGGAATGGGCCCAGGCAGGTGAAGCCTTCTACCTGAGATCCTACAGCCAGTAAGTGAGTGAAGCAGGACTGGAGGCTGGAATTAGCCGACTCGGAGTCCCGTGCCCCTCACCCACTCGGCTCTCCTGACTCCAGCTGCGTATCATCCGTATGATGCCATATGGATGATGCCTAGTCTGGCTTCCAGAGCCAGTGAGCCAGTGTGGCCGGGACAAATGTAAACAGGCCACGAGGAAAACTGGAACTACATGCAAAGCAGCTCGGCTCTCTGCGTTCCTAAGTCCTCTTCCCCTATTCTTTATTAGAAACCCACTTGAAAAAATAAATTAGTCAGCACAGTTGGCTTCAAAGATAGATGCATACTCTTAGCTATTTTTAGCGAGATGTGACCATTTAGTAAGTTTGCCTTTCTCCCTGAGGAGTGGTGCATGAGAAACAGTCGGTTAGAGCCTCCTCGCCCAGCAAGGCAACCAGAGACACGTGGGCACGTGTTGGCACTCACTTGGCCTTAGTTCAAAAACATTTGTTGTGCACCCACAGTGTGCAGGTGGCTGGGCTGAGAACGGCAAGGACTTTTAATATTAAGCGTCTGCTTTCTTGCTGGGGTTAAGGTCGCTGGAGAATGAGGGCTGGCTGTGGGTGAGGGATTGGGTTTCGGGTGGAAGGAGAGAGCCATCATCTCGGTGCAGAGATGAAGGCCTGAGCTGTCTCTCTGACCTGTGACTCATCTTCTGTCCCAAGGAACTCAGTCCCTGGTGGAAGCTAAGAAGTTAATATAAATATGAGTCTACGTGGTTCAGAAAGGGAACAAGGGTGACAGGGAGTCCTGCGACTCCAAAACTGGTAACAAGGAGCCAACTGGGGACAAAAAGGAGTTGGAAACTCCACATTCTAGAGAGAGCCATGAACAATAGGAGCCTGACCCTTTTCTCGGGGTTTATCATGAAGAATAAGAGGCAGCTTAGAGGGCTTTGCTGCTTCCAACCATCACCCAGCACTACCCCCTCCCCAGTCTGTATAAGCAAAAGGCTAGGGGTGGGGAGGGTGAAAAGTCACCAGACGCTGGGGCCATTGTCTGGGTGGTGGTGAGGGGACTGCGGTAGTGTTTTCCAGATTTTGCAGAAGCCAAGGGAAAGGGCTGTTCAGGGAAGAATGGAAGGTGTATCCTGGGACTAAAGCAGAGAAACGAGACTGGCAGACAGAGGGCGTGGGAGCACGTGTGTGAGTGACGAGCATCGTGCCCTCTCACCGGTTGGCAGAGCAAGCATGTGGGGGGCCCCCAAGGGGGAGGTGGAAATTCTGGGGATGCCAGAAGAGGTCAAGCCAGCTTGGATCTCCCAAGACAGCCGTCAGAAGAACACAGTTCTAGCTGCAAAAGAGAGCCAGTAATTGGGCACCTGACTCACAATGGACACCAAAAGCTACTCAATATTTAGCTACAGCACTGTTTCTCAAACTTCTTTGTATCTCTGTCCTCTCAAGGAGCCTTTTTGGATATTTTTTCCTATTCAGCACCTTACTCTTCCCTGCCTGTGAAACTTTAATACAACAGACACACTCTATACCTACTCCTGTGTGTGCATGGCCCTTTGGAAAGCCACAAACCATTGCTTCCTTGGAACTAATTTTCGCCTCTCTGGGGGGCAATGTTGGCCCTGCTGAGAATCCATGAGCTAGAGAACCCATCCCACAGAGTGATAAAGCCTGTCTCACTCAACCGTAGCCCCGTAGCCCCATGAGGTGAAGTTTATTATCCTTCTGAAGCAAAGGAGACCTCATTCCCGAGGAAGCATGGGCATCTCACAAGAGAAGAGACAGGGCTAGTGTAGAATTTGGGGTAAGGGGACTGTTTAGGTGAAGTTTCAGTGAAGTAGTGCTTGCCAGGCTCTGAGCTAAGCAGGCCTGCATGCAAAGAGGTCAATTTCAGGCCTGGGGTGAGAAGCGGACTCAGGGTCCTGTTCCATTGGAAAATACGAATAAACGATAAAGGTAGGATTTTTGTCTGAAAACTCGTTGTCTGAAGCTCTGGGGGTTGAAAAGCTTTTGCTGCTCAGATCCTCCTAGCAGCAGAGGGATACTCCATTCTTACTGAAAGGATTTCAAACAGCCAAGTTTCTGACAGTCTGTGATTTTACAGAACAAGGTTTCTCAGCAATATAACTTGGCTAGTTAACAAAACAAATTTTTAGGGGCTTCTGGTAGCTCAGTCAGTTAAGTGTCTGACTCTTGATTTCAGCTCAGGTCACGATCTTACGGCTTATGAGTTCGAGTCCTACATTGCTCTCTGTGCTGACAGTGCAGAGCCTGTTTGGGACTCTCTTTTTCTCCCTCTCTCTCTCTCTCTCTCTCTCTGCCCCTCCCTTGCTTGTGCTCTCTCTCTCAAAATAAATAAATAAACTTAAAAAAACAAACAAACAGGTTTTTAAAGGTTTACAAAAGGAACTCATTGATGGCCATGATGGAGGAGGAGATTTTCCCTTTTAGAAGGAAGGGTTCCCCCTTCAGCAAGCCCTAGGGCAGCACAACCCAGAAGGCTAGGAGGAAGGGTAGACTTGCCTCATCCCTGCCACAGGTTCCCAGGGCCATAGGTGAAGGCTTAGCTTATAGGACAGAGAGAGGAGGCCAGAAGTTTTAAATCTCCAAGTGTGGCCAGAAACCTACTCACAAAATCATTAAGAAACTGGCAGGGACAGGTCAATACAGGCAGGACAGTTCAATACAAAGCAGTGGGTAGTTCACCTGCTACAGGCTTGTGCCACAACAAGTCAAACTATTTATAAACCAATTCCCCATCAGAGGAGGGCAGAGGGGCAAGCAGGAAGCAGAGAGGAAGCTGGGTATGCGGGAAGGCAGGCTGACTTGATGCCTTTTCCTGAGTTAAATACATCACCGGTGACCAGAGTCTTTGGGTATTTTAACAAGTGACCTCTCAGCCTGTGAATGCGCCCAGCAGGGCAAGGGAAGCTGTAATACAAAGCAGGAGAGGTAAATCTGCTTCATGTGGATGCTGGGAGGGGGTGCAAAAAGTAGGCCAGGTCCGGGTTGGGAGGGAGGAATAGATGGGGTGAGCAAGAATCCTGGGATTCTGCAAAATTATTGCAACAATCATCCAAAAGCAGGAAGCAGAGTGGCAATAAAAGAAAGAATGTGAAAGAAGCCAGGCTGTAAATTCTGGGAGAGGAGAATTAGAAGTGGGACACAGAGTTTGCAATGGAGGAAACAAGTAAAGTGAAATAGTGTGAGAAAGCGCTCAACTCTTTACCTTCCTCTCTCTGATATGACCTCTCTGGTTAAAAAAAAAAAAAAAAAAAACAAGTTATTACAGGCATCTGTGGCCCCTAAAACTCTGCAAAGTCTTCTGACTTCCTTTTTTTTTTTTTTTTTTTTTAAACGTTTATTTATTTTTTTGGGACAGAGAGAGACAGAGCATGAACGGGGGAGGGGCAGAGAGAGAGGGAGACACAGAATCGGAAACAGGCTCCAGGCTCCGAGCCATCAGCCCAGAGCCTGACGTGGGGCTCGGACTCACGGACCGCGAGATCGTGACCTGGCTGAAGTCGGACGCTTAACCGACTGCGCCACCCAAGCGCCCCTTCTGACTTCCTTTTAAAGTCAGTTCTGAAAAACCATCCAGATGGAGGGAGATCAAGGCACCAAGATGGCAGCCTGTGATCTCGGAAGAGGATACTGAGATCACACTCCAGAAAAAGAGAATGGGATAGAAGAAATGAAGTCTGAGAAACCTGGTGGTAGTGGGACGGGTAGTGGGTAGTGGGGTAGTGGGTGAACCAGAGTTCACCCCCCATGGAAGCGTGGAGCGAGGGAAGAGTAAATATTGCAGAAGACGGAATGGGGTATTTTTGGAAGGGAGGTGATTTTAACTGAATTTAGACTCATTTCACTGAATTTGGACAACCAAATCAAGAATCTCCTGTTGCAGATCCCCCAGCCCCAGGGTCAGTTTGTAAATGGCACTGACCACACCATTCTTGTTCCCATTTATTGGTGACTGCTCTCAGGCAGAACACACAATGACCCAATTCTAGCCAGAAAAATTCTAGCTCTCAGGAAGAACACACAATGACCCAATTTTAGCCAGTAAGAGGTCTGCTGGGGGGTCTCCGGGAAACCATACTGAAAGAGATAGATGTGTGAAGAGCTACCCTCTCGTTTCCTGGTTTGGAAACTTTTATGTGAGGATGTGATACTTGGGGTTGCAGCAGCCATTTGGGGGCCATCATGCCACAAACTTGAGGAAGAATGCTAACAAGCTAAAGGTGGTGGAGGAGAAGGACAAAAAGGCCTTGCTGAATTGGGACCCCCACCTCCACACTCACTGTTAATAAACATTCCTATAGGTGACTCACCATTAGCCAGATAGCCGCTCACTTGCAGCCAAATGCATCTTAACTGTAATGGATAAGCCTCTGTCTAAGCATCCCATATCCTATATCCCGTCACCACTTGGTGACATCTTCTCTTCCTCTAAATTATTTTATGATGCTGGAATCTCTAAATTCTATTTGCTTTGAAGGAACTATGAAATCCTAGTGTTTATCCTACCTATTCTAGCTGGGCTCAAAGGAGATTTCTCCAGTCAGTAGGTCTGGCACCAAGATGTCTGGACTCCCCTCATTCGAAGGCTCTAAACAGCTAACA